TACTCATTCCCTCATTAGTCTGTGTATAAGTGTTCCCTCTGCCCCCTTGTCCTTTGTGAGTGATTGTTCATTGTGAGAGTGAGTAGCTCGGTTGTATGTATGTAGCCAAGGTGGATTTTTTCCCTTATACTAGTTTCGTTTTGACGCTTGCTGCGCTTTATTCATGTGCACTGAATAAACTCTGGATTTCGGTGTTTTACCTCCTGCGCCTGACTCCGTCATTCACACCTCATCACATAACCTTTTAACCTAATTCCTAAACTTAAGTCTAACCATAGCTAGAATTCGTAACATATCATACGTTTGCTAATTCGTAACATATCATACCTTTTTGCAAATTGGTAACATATAACACGTTATGCGAATTTATATCATATTGTACATTTTACAAATTCGTAACATATAATACGAATTGTCATTTGTAACATACAGTGCATTCGGAAAGTATTCAGACCCCTTGACTTTTCCCACATTTTGTTACATTACAACCTTATTCTACAATGGATTAAATAAATAAAAATCCTCATCAATCAACACACAATACCCCATAATGACAATGCAAAAATGAATTTTTGCTAATCTATTAAAAATAAACAACAGAAATACCTTACTTAAATAAGTATTCAGAAATTTTGCAATGAGACTCAAATTTGAGCTCAGCTGCATCCTGTTTCCATTGATCATCCTTGAGATGTTTCTACAACTTGATTGGAGTCCACCTCTGGTAAATCCAATTAATTGGACATCATTTGGAAAGGCACACACCTGTCTATATAAGGTCCCACAGTTGACAGTGCATGTCAGAGCAAAAACCAAGCCGTGAGGTCGAAGGAATTGTCCGTAGAGCTCCGAGACAGGATTGTGTCAAGGCACAGATCTGGGGAAGGGTACTAAAAAAATTCAGCAGCATTGAAGGTCCCCAAGAACACAGTGGCCTCCATCATTCTTAAATGGAATAATTTTTGAACAACCAAGACTCTTCCTAGAGCTGGCCGCCGGCCAAACTGAGCAATCGGGGGAGAAGGGCCTTGGTAAGGGAGGTGACCAAGAAACCGATGGTCACTCTGACAAAGCTCCAGAGTACCTCTGTGGAGATGGGAGAACCTTCCAGAAGGACAACCATCTCTGCAGCACTCCACCAATCAGGCCTTTATGGTAGAGTGGCCAGACGGACGCCACTCCTCAGTAAAGGGCACATGACAGCCCACTTGGAGTTTGCCAAAAGGCACCTAAATACTCTCAGACCATGAGAAACAAGATTCTCCGGTCTGATGAAACCAAGATTGAACTCTTTGGCCTGAATGCCAAGCGTCACGTCTGGAGGAAACCTGGCACCATCCCTGCAGTGAAGCATGGTGGTGGCAGCATCATGCTGTGGGGATGTTTTTCAGCAGCAGGGACTGGGAGACTAGTCAGGATCGAGGTAAAGATGAACGGAGCAAAGTACAGAGAGATCCTTGATGAAAACCTGCTCCAGAGTGCTCAGGACCTCAGACTGGGGCGAAGGTTCACCTTCCTACAGGACAACGACCCTAAGCACACAGCCAAGACAACGCAGGAGTGGCTTTGGGACAAGTCTCTGAATGTCTTTGAGTGGCCCAGCCTGAGCCCGGACTTGAACCCGATCTAACATCTCTGTTAATCAATTTTAGAATAAGGCTGTAACATCACAAAATGTGGAAAAAGTCAAGGGGTCTGAATAGTTTCCCGAATGCACTGTATCAAACAAAATGGGTGATGGAAATTCACAAATGAATACATACCATACAAAGCGTAACATATCATACTAAATGGAACGTATTGGATTTACGTACAGAATAATACCAAATGCTCTGAGACCAGGTTGGGTATGAAGATGGAAATGGACAGTTATATTACGTAACTTTTTATAGCCTTGTCAATTATTTGTATATCAATTATTTAGATGACAAGTATATGCATTTTTAGATTGTTGTTAAATAATCGTTTAATTTAGCAAAAACATCAGGGGATGCTAATCTAGGCAGGAAATTGTGGTAACCCAATGCACTCTCTCTCCTGTGTGTGTGTGTGTGTGTGTATGTAGATTTTATTTCAATTGAAAACAACAAAATAGTGGTCATATAATAGATGCAATACCATTTCCTGTATGTCCTTCGATCACATGTGCACTCAGTAATACATTATTAGAACTATAGATCAGACAAGACCAGAAGATCATCAGAATGCGACTCCTGGCGATATTAAGGCAGTGAAAACATTAGAACACTGAAAACAGTAGTACTGTACAGAGATATATGCTCACCGTCCCAATTCGGACTCCAACTCATAGTAGTCAGCCAAGATCTCCTTATTCGATTCATCTATCCAGTAGTCTGGAGCTGGGGGTGCCCCTGCTCTGGACGAGAGCATAGTGACTTTAAGCAGCACCAGCTATCCAAACGGATTCAAGTATCTTGACAGCTCGTCTCCCCTGCGGCGATTCAAGGCTTGACTCAGTTACAGTGGTGTGAAGAAAAGCGAGTTGGATACGGTCAAGGTGTGACAGAGACGCGCGTAAGACCGTTATCTTCTCCAAAGCAGCACAAAACCCAGCCTTTTGTAAGAATCTAATATGAGTTACAAGACCATTTGAAGGACTGGGTAGCGTAATGAGCTTGGTCCTAAATGCATATTATTCACAGCCGCCAGTCCAGCTTTGCTACCATATTGCACTCAGTGTAAAGGCAAGTGTGCAAAGAGACAGTGGAGTCTGCGTTTGAGAGGGTTTCCACCGGGTCTTACTGTCGCTGGTTTAACATCCAAAAACAAGTGAGTTACCTTTACCTGAGGTCACAATCAAGCACGTCATATTACCATAACTACCAGACATAATTGTGTTGCTTTTTATGACATGAAAATAGGCCTACCTTATACAGCGCATTCGGAAAGAATTCAGACTTTTTCTCCTCATCAATCTACACACAATACCCCAAAATGACAAAGCACAAACACGTTTTTAGAAAAAAACGGAAATATAACATTTACATAAGTATTCAGACCCTTTACTCAGTACTTTGTTGAAGCACCTATGGCAGCGATTACAGCCTCGAGTCCGCGTTGCGTCATGCATAAGAACAGCCCTTAGCGGTGGTATATCGGGCCTTATTGCTTAAATATACAGTACCAGTCAAAAGTTTGGACACCTACTCATTCAAGGGTATTTCTTTATTTTTTTAAACTATTTTCTACATTGTAGAATAATAGTGAAAACATCAAAACAATGAAATAACACATGGAGTCATACAGTAACCCAAAAAGTGTTAAACAAATCAAAATATGTTTTAGATTCTTCAAAGTAGCCACCTTTTGCATTGATGACAGCTTTGCACACTCTTGGCATTCTCTCAACCAGCTTCACCTGGAATGCTTTTCCAACAGTCTTGAAGGAGTTTCCACATATGCTGAGCACTTTTCCTTCACTCTGCGGTCCAACTCATCCCAAACCATCTCATTTGGGTTGAGGTCGGGTGATTGTGGAGGCCAGGTGATCTGATGCAGCACTCCATCACTCTCCTTCTTGGTCAAACAAATGCTAGTCCCACTAAGCGCAAACCAGATGGGATGGCTATCGCTGCAGAATGCTGTGGTAACCATGCTGGTTAAGTGTGCCTTGAATTCTAAATAAATCACAGACAGTGTCGTCACACCTCCTCCTCCATTCTTCATGGTGGGAACCACACATGCGGAGATCATCCGTTCACCTACTCTGCGTCTCACAAAGACACAGCGGTTGGAACCAAAAATCTCACATTTGGACTCATCAGACCAAAGGACAGATTTCCACCAGTCTAATGTCCATTGCTCGTGTTTCTTGGCCCAAGCAAGTCTCTTCTTCTTATTGGTGTCCTTTAGTAGTGGTTTCTTTGCAGCAATTCGACCATGAAGGCCTAATCCACGCGGTCTCCTCTGAACAGTTGATGTTGAGATGTGTCTGTTACTTGAATTCTGTGAAGCATTTATTTGGGCTGCAGTCTGAGGCTGGTAACTCTAATGAACTTATCCTCTGCAGCAGAGGTAACTCTGGGTCTTCCTTTCCTGTGCCGGTCCTCATGAGAGCCAGTTTCATCATAGCGCTTGATGGTCTTTGCGACCGCACTTGAAGAAACTTTCAAAGTTCTTGAAATGTTTCGGATTGACTGACCTTTATGTCTTAAAGTAATGATGGACTGTCGTTTCTCTTTGCTTATTTGAGCTGTTCTTGCCATAATATGGAATTGGTATTTTACCAAACAGGGCCATCTTCCGTAGACCAACCCTACCGTGTCACAACACAACGGATTGGCTCAAATGCATTAAGGAAAGAAATTCCACAAATTAACTTTTAACAAGGCACACCTGTTAATTGAAATGCATTCCAGGTGACTACCTCATGAAGCTGGTTGAGAGAATTATTCTACAATGTAGAAAACAGTACAAATAAAGAAAAACCCTGGAATGAGTAGGTGTGTCCAAACTTTTGACTGGTACTGTATATATACTGTATATGGCTCCGGGCCTACCATTTGAACTATGTAATTACGCTGTAGCCTTATTATTCCCGCAAACATTTGTATGTTGTGGAGCACATAATTCAAAAATACTGCCCTACAATAAACAGGAAATAATATAATTAGTCTTTTTTAATAATTAAAACACTGACAAATCACAGAAATGCAATTGATGCCCAGTAACTAACATGCTTATCATTCAATGATAACACTTGCATTTGTCAAAGATGCAGTAAGATGTATATATATATTTTTAAATTGTTACTCTATTGCTTTATATTACCATAAAAATGACAGGCTTGACTAAAACCCCTGTCCCAAGCCCAAACCCATGCACCCTGTGTGGCTGGTCATCCTCTAGGACTCCAACAGAACCTAGTTACAGAGAGAGGCATACAGAGACACCATCTGCTCCACTACCTGCTCCGTCATGAGACAAAAACTATAATCCCCAACAGCACTGAACACGATGAAAATATATCAATGTATCGGATTTGTCTACGGAGTACAGCACTATTTTGTCCTCTGTATAATCCTTATTACTATGCTGTACACTATTGAGACAGCAGGGAACAAAGCAAGCAAACTAATGCTGAACAAAGGAAAATCTAATTGTATTAGGGTAAGAACATAAAGTGAAAACATAATCTGGAGAAATACAATGATAACAATCATGATGTTTATTTTAAACGTTTACATCAGGTTTTGATCAATCATGGTTTCATTGAACTTCATACTTTGTTAGACCATTACAAAAGCATGAGGGCACTTCATATAAAATGTGACCAATTTGTCTGGCATTAACCGTGATACTTGCGTCTAGAATACTGTATACAGATTTACACAACTTTTATGGTGAAAAACAACATTAAGAAAACAAAAATAAAAGTAAGGGAGAGGTACACTTCAAAGCAGTGCACTCTTGGTGTATGACAGCAAACACAGGCTCTGATTGAAAAGTGTCTGCATGGATGTCCACGTCTCCTCCAGTTTCTCTGATACTCTAGATGCCTCCTCCATCAGCCCTGGTTCCTGGGAGATCAGTCTGAGATGCAGCTAGAGAGAGAGGAACCAGGGTTAGTGATGGAAGTAAGTCTAGCCATACATGAATACACACTTGTTATTTGCCCTCAGAACGTGCCTGTGATGCTGTGAAGACAAAAACATAATTATTCATGTTCTGTAAAGATGCTAATTGAATTCAGGTACTCAACAAAATAGATCGTATTTTAAGAGTGAAACAATAGAACTGCATATCAAGTCAAACATGTTTTCTTGCTACATTTTTATTTGACTTCTACAGGAAATCTGGGTATTGGTTTTGATTGAATAGGGCATTGTGTATCACAGTATTTTTACATTTCAGTTTTTTTCTTGTGTTCTGATGCCATCTACTGGCTGCAGCTGTAAGTGGATGACAGTCAATGCAACAGAAAACAACTTTCCCGTTCATCTAGTGGCATCCGAGTTGATTACATCTAACATTAAACATTAACAACAATATAATTACTGTAGTAATAACATTGTTGGACTAGAATGTAACAATAAAAACTCAAAATCATTAAAATGTAGATTAAATCAATAGAAACAGTGTTATTTCACAGGTATAGAGCGGTTGCGTTAACACAGAATTCTGTATTTTTCACGCAAATAAATATCTTACTGTTTTTCGTAAACCAGATCTAAAATGCTTCTTATTGTAATTTCTGCTCTGCATCAGACTAATTTTGTTCTTCAGTTGCACTTCTAAACTCGGATGAGAATTCACCAACGGGCATTCTATCAGCAGACAGCGTTCTAACTGATGTGTAGCTACTTTTCTCTGGTACTTTTCTTGGTGTAGCCAGCTTACTTTTCTCTGGTACTTTTCTTGGTGTAGCCAGCTTACTTTTCTAAGGTAAAATGCAAGATTAACTTCAAGCAAAACATTAGGAAATGTAGCTGGCTACATTCTTTCTGTGATAAATATTAGAAATATGCAAAAAATACCTTTCATTTACTTGTGTGGCTGCTAGCCAAATAGCATTGCACTTCTGTTGTCATCTGATGAAAATGAAGCTATTTTCCACTGAATGTGTCGCACTATTTTCTGTGATGGAAAACTATAGTTGCAGGCCCTTGATCACCTCTCTTTGAAGCAACAAAAAAAACCACTTGACTTTCAATATAAAACTCAGGTGAAATGGTTTAAAAACACAGATTTGTTTTATGTCTGCATTTTGAAAATACAGATTTGTGAACTAACGCGACCCCTGGTATAATAGCAGCTTATTAACTTGAATATTTATGTGGTTACCTTTAGGAAGAGAGCCAGGTAGGCCTGTGCCAGATCAAAGTCTCTCTTGGAGTCCAGCATGCTGGCCACCATCTTCAGGAAGCCTTGTAAGACAGAGACATCTCCACCCATATCAGGGGCCAGGCCTCGGAGCTCAGCATCAATACCAGACGGACCCATCTCTTTCAGCATCCCCACAGGGCCATCATCTGGAGGAAACAATGATAAGGATGGGTTATTCATTGTATTGGTCTGAGGTACATGACATTAGAAATGTAAAGGTGTGCCAAATAATCATTTAGTTAGTGCACATGCTAATGACTTGACTTCATAGCAGTAGGCCCAAGTATTGTGATTCTAAAATACATTCTTGAGTTTTTATGGCCTCAGAATTGATTTGGGGTTATAGGAATTGCTATGCTTGCCAGAGGTGCTGTGAGTAATTGCTAGCTAAGTGAGATTCAGACTTACATTTGTTGCTGAGCATAGCAGATTCTAGCAGTTGGTAGAAATGGGACTTCTGTGCCAGGACTCCAAAATTCACAATCTTTGACTGTGAAAAAGTAAACAAAAGAAGCATTGTTTAACCCAAATAACAGTTACTATGGGAGTGGGGATAATATGAAAAGCAAACAACCCTTTTTAAAGATGAAATCCGTAGTAGGGGGAAAAAGTGCCACTGTCCACCCCACGGCCGTTGTTATTGTTTTGTTGACAAAGCAGAGGTGGGGAGGGTCGCCTAGAGCCCTGCACGGGCATGAATTTCAAGGCCGAGCCCTACCCATGACAGCGACGTTCAGGCCCTACCCTACCCAGGCCTGATCGCTTCTGCCAAAATAACTTCCTCTGTTAGTAAATCCATTAGCTGCTCCTCTCTGTCTGTCAGTCGCTCCTGAGCGCTGCTCGCTCTGCATGCGCTCTGCTCATGGCGGTTCTATATCTGAGTATCTATAGCAACATCTCAGCTTGGGCTGCTCTGTTCAATGATGAGACAGAGAGCAGTAGGCTGTTAGCTACTTTGTCACTCTAAACTCTGACAAACTCAAGGAACATTATTATTTTCTGTGAAATAATCTCTCCTGTCTTATATTTGACGAGGCTGAAGCACTTCTGACACCACGTTATGATCTTAGTCAGATATGACTGTACTGTGCAGCAGATCGCGAGCAAATGGCTCAGCTTCAAAATGTTAGTGATCAATTTAGTGATACCCGAGTCCCTGCCCATACCCTAGTTATTGATGAAAAACAGACCCTACCTGGCCCTAACCCGATGTATAATGTCGGGGCCCATCGGGGTCGAGTAGCTGAGTTCTAGCGCCCATGTCAAAGGAAAAAAAACAGTGTTCGTTGTTTGCACTAACTTCGTTGTTGTAATATCGCAAACGGACATGGCAGTTTCAACATTAAGGATTCCAGCTTTAACTTACAAGAAATAAAATAAAATAAAAAAATAATTTTACAGTGTTGTGGTTTCAGGGTCATTCATAGAGTTCTGTTTATTATCAGAACTTGAAGAAGTATTTAACTTCTCTCACCTGTTCCTCCTGGTTGGAGCCTTCAGAGGGGGCAAACTGGGGTATTAGTCCTGGGATGGTGGGCATAAAGAATGGGGCAGCCTTCGGAACCTTGGGGGGCTCCTTGGGTTTGTTCCGTTTCTATGTGAAAGGGGAAAACACCAATCTCATTTCAGTCCGACATAACAAAAACAAAATATATGAGCACTGTGAAGGTCTGTATTATGAAGAGATGACAACGATATTACAGAACAATTGCTACATGTGTTGTCAGTCACTGCATGTGTAAGGAGACTTGTCTTGAGTCGCACAGACAAACTGGGCTTGAGACCCTGTCGGCGACCCGTTTTTCTCCACAGACAACTACCGTGTGACATGCTCACCTTGATGATATCGAGGTGCAGCAGGTTCTTCCAGCGAGAGTCGGGCAGCAGAGAGAGGGTGACTAGCTTCTCGTCCAGTTGCTCAGGAGACTCATACTCTATCATCTCAGTGTTGAGTTCAGCATCTCCCTCTCCCTCTTCATCTGCAGAAAAAAACAAATGTTTCTTTAGCAACTGATACCATCAACTACCATCTAATATTGCTTAAGTTCCTGAAAGGTTATTTCAAGCATTGTGTTTGAATGTCCAGTACTCTGGCACACACATTATGGCACAGTATTGTTTTTCTCATAAATATCTAGTCAATATTCAAAGGACCGTCACTGTTACCTATACAATCAAGGACGGATTTACTCCCTCCATATTAAATACCATTAATTAACAATGCTTGAATAATTGGCTGATAACCACTGTTACATGTGCCAGTCCAGATGGTGTGGGGGATTTGCTACCCCCCTGTGCTCGGTACAGAGTAAGTGCTACATGGGCACACTGGGTGTTCAGTAGGTACCTTGGCTGGGACAGGTTCCTGGCAGCATGATCATGGTGGGCTCGTAGTCTGCAGTCAGGGGGCGCAGCGACACCATGCTGCACAGCGTGTTGTTGGACCTGGAAACACACAACAATATGGAATTCACTCAACATGGGATGCTCAATCAAGAATAATACTAATGTAGTTGTACGAAAGTTCAATCAGGAAGGCTGGTCTGAATGCTCATTTAACTTCATCCAGTAAAACATCATTCACTTTGTTTCCTATTCTAGGGGCATAGTGGGAATGAATACAAACATATCATTATCAGCTTAGCATCTTGTTTCTTCTCCTTTTTCCTGTTAGCCATGTGTGGAATGTCATTCACCTATTGACCTTACAGCCTATCCACCTCCCCACCACCACTAGCTATAACAACCTTAAGGGCCATCATTGGAACTCCTTTCCCCCAGTGGGGAAGGTTTCAATGCCAGCAGCCCCGAATAGGGCTACCTGCCATCACATCAACTAGCTCCGAGGATCTTCCCTCGGAGACAAAAACCATTCCCCAAACTATTTAATAAAATGTCATATTGCATTCGGTCTTTGTTGTTCATTCAGTTAAGCCTGTACTCGATTGAAATACTAATACTGAATACTACTATGCTGTTGTCCTCGGTAGCTCAGTTGGTAGAGCATGGCGTTTGCAAAGCCAGGATAGTGGGTTAAATTACCGGGACCTCCCGTACGTAAAATGTATGCACACATGACTAAGTCGCTTTGGGTAAAAGCATCTGCTAAATGGCATACATTATTATTATTACTGAATACTACTAGTTAGTATCCTGAATACTATTATACTGGATGTGATACTACTACTCAATATACAGTGGGGAAAACAAGTATTTGATACACTGCCGATTTTGCAGGTTTTCCTACTTACAAAGCATGTAGAGGTCTGTAATTTTTATCATAGGTACACTTCAACTGTGAGAGACGGAATCTAAAACAAAAATCCAGAAAATCACACTGCATGATTTTTAAGTAATTAATTTGCATTTTATTGCATGACATAAGTATTTGATCACCTACCAACCAGTAAGAATTCCGGCTCTCACAGACCTGTTAGTTTTTCTTTAAGAAGCCCTCCTGTTCTCCACTCATTACCTGTATTAACTGCACCTGTTTGAACTCGTTACCTGTATAAAAGACACCTGTCCACACACTCAATCAAACAGACTCCAACCTCTCCACAATGGCCAAGACCAGAGAGCTGTGTAAGGACATCAGGGATAAAATTGTAGACCTGCACAAGGCTGGGATGGGCTACAGGACAATAGGCAAGCAGCTTGGTGAGAAGGCAACAACTGTTGGCGCAATTATTAGAAAATGGAAGAAGTTCAAGATGACGGTCAATCACCCTCGGTCTGGGGCTCCATGCAAGATCTCACCTCGTGGGGCATCAATGATCATGAGGAAGGTGAGGGATCAGCCCAGAACTACACGGCAGGACCTGGTCAATGACCTGAAGAGAGCTGGGACCACAGTCTCAAAGAAAACCATTAGTAACACACTACGCCGTCATGGATTAAAATCCTGCAGCACACGCAAGGTCCCCCTGTTTAAACTAGCGCATGTCCAGGCCCGTCTGAAATTTGCCAATGACCACCTAGATGATCCAGAGGAGGAATGGGAGAAGGTCATGTGGTCTGATGAGACAAAAATATAGCTTTTTGGTCTAAACTCCACTCGCCGTGTTTGGAGGAAGAAGAAGGATGAGTACAACCCCAAGAACACCATCCCAACCGTGAAGCATGGAGGTGGAAACATCATTCTTTGGGGATGCTTTTCTGCAAAGGGGACAGGACGACTGCACTGTATTGAGGGGAGGATGGATGGGGCCATGTATCGCGAGATCTTGGCCAACAACCTCCTTCCCTCAGTAAGAGCATTGAAGATGGGTCGTGGCTGGGTCTTCCAGCATGACAACGACCCGAAACACACAGCCAGGCAACTAAGAAGTGGCTCCGTAAGAGGCATCTCAAGGTCCTGGAGTGGCCTAGCCAGTCTCCAGACCTGAACCCAATAGAAAATCTTTGGAGGGAGCTGAAAGTCTGCATTGCCCAGCGACAGCCCCGAAACCTGAAGGATCTGGAGAAGGTCTGTATGGAGGAGTGGGCCAAAATCCCTGCTGCAGTGTGTGCAAACCTGGTCAAGACCTACAGGAAACGTATGATCTCTGTATCAAATATTAAGTTCTGCTTTTCTGATGTATCAAATACTTATGTCATGCAATAAAATGCAAATTAATTACTTAAAAATCATACAATGTGATTTTCTGGATTTTTGTTTTAGATTCCGTCTCTCACAGTTGAAGTGTACCTATGATAAAAATTACAGACCACTACATGCTTTGTAAGTAGGAAAACCTGCAAAATTGGCAGTGTATCAAATACTTGTTCTCCACACTGTACATGAAACACGTTGTCACAGCAAACTACTTGAATACAAGGAAATAACAAAAATCCTTCATAAATAACTGTTCCTACTGCAGTACAGCATGTATTCCAACAAAATTGACCATATGACTACTAATTTGTTGAGTCACATTAGTTCAAAGACTAAGCTAATCAAGATTGTTCCTTTATCATCTAATACTTGGTTGCCTGTAAGAGTGAACGTTTAATCAGAAGGTTAGGTTACGTAATAATGACAGTCTTTCTTTGATGTGGTGGGGACTCTTACCATAAGTATATCCCCAAGTTGTCGACATGGGAGGAGGCCAGAAAGTCCCCTGTGGGTGACATGGTCAGACTGACTGCAGCAGAGTCTACCAAGAAGCAGTCCACCAGGCTAAGAAAGAACGAATGTTAAGAGTGACAGAAGAAAAAAAAAAAGAGAATAAATCAAGTCAATTACTGAAGGCGGAGATGGAAATTCCCCTGGAGAGCACTTGAAGGAGATTCACTGATAAACTCAATTTATGATAAAGTTAAACAAAGATGGTCATCTCAACGATTTCAGGTTGTGGTTAGATGAAATGAAAAGACAGGGCTTGTCTGTGACTGCTGGTGACCTCACAAGTGTGCGAATGTCATTTGCATGTATGACCTTAGCCACGGACAAGAAGATATATCAGTAAAGTATGGTCCAGAAACAAACTCTGGCCCGTACCCCCTAGCCACTTTTGGGGGACCTGATAATCTGCTCCAGAAGCGGCAGGGTTGGTCTTACCAGCCGGAGGGGAGGTCCCATGTCCTGATGGTACAGTCCATGGCTGCCGTTATCAACCAGCGACCGTCTGGACTGAAAGCCTGAGGGGAAACGTCAGACAAGAAAAATCATCAGTACTCAAAAATATATTTGAGGGAAAGAGAGAGCGAGATCAATCGAGAGAGATAGGTGAAGAACTGAGAAAGTGAGAGCAAGAGAGATAATGGCTCACCATATCATTGACCTGTCCACGATGGCCAGAGAACTTGCGGACAATCCTCTTGGTCTCCATGTCCAGAACATTGAGCGTGAAGTCGTCCAGCGCTATGGCCAACATACCACTTTACCAGGGTCAGAAAAGACTGCAATCAGACACTTTTCTACTGCTATGTTATAACCATGTGAAAACTAAATCAGTTGGAAGACGTGCAGTCGTATAAGTGCTATTCTTCCCTGTGGTGTTATCTGTCCCGTACCTGTCCCTGTGCAGGTGTGTGGTGGCAGGTGAGGTGCCCAGGTCAATGGAGTGGACCAACTTCCTAGATTTGAACTTCCAGATCTTGACCAGTTTGTCAGCTCCGGCACTCACGGTCAGCTGGTTGAGTCCATCCACCGACACGCCGCGCACCGCCCCCCTATGAGCTACAGAGTCAGAAATGAGACAAAGCTGAATCTTTCACAGAAAGCATGAGCTAAATATACATTGGTAATTGTCTGTATGGGGTTACTTACCTTTGTCCTCTCCATATTGACCTCTATGCATGCCAGACTGCATGTTGTAAACGTCAACATGTCCAGATGAGAGTCCTACCACTACAAAGTTACCACATGATGTGATATCTACTGCCTGAGAGGAGAAAATACAAATTTTAACAACATAAATAGCGCATATATTATGTTTGTTTCAAATGTGTAATAAACGTTGTGTAATAAACTATTAAAAGGTAGATTTCTTATTGATCGAACCTAATCAAATCATTTAGGTTAATTTTACACAAAAAAAAAACATTTTACATGACCAGTAACATATTTAGCTACCGTAGCATGGACGTTGAGAGCGCGGTTCTTGTTGAAGCGTTCGGGCTCCAGCTTGTGTGCTCCCATGCTGCCCTTCTGATAGTTCCAGGTGGTCGTCATGAGATACCCTCGGTGACACGCCACTATACTGTCCCAATCACTCTGACGGGCACTCTCTACATCACACAGAATCAGACAAAACATTAAAGTTTTAACAAATCACATTCAATGATAAAGGTTCTACAGAAATACAGACTTGTTTTGAGTCTTTTTACCTCATGACAGTTAACACAGTATTTAAAAATTAGAGACGTTTCTTATTTTTTGCTAAGCATACCTGAGGCGAAAGTGGTGATGGCAGGAAGCTTTAGTTCGTCATACCTCAAGCTTTTCTTTTTGGATTTCTTCTTGTTGATGGAACCTACTTACCAATTGGTATATTTTCATGAAGAATACAGCAAACAAGGATTTATGCAGGTAAACAGCACTCAAATTGACATCTCATTGTCCATAACAGCAACTTTTCCTACAACAGAGAAAATAAGTCATACCATGTCCTAAACTCCTGTTGAATCTCTCATGAACAGTGGAGAACGACTGCAGAGTACCATCTTGACCTTAGAAAAAGAAAGAGTACAGTGGATTAGAGAGAAATATGTATTTTATTTAATTAAAAACTCATAGATGCCTTATACAACTAACTGCCTGATACAGCAAGTCTTAACTTGGGCAGGGATGTAGCTCAGTTGGTAGAGCATGGTGTTTGCAACGCCAGGGTTGTGGGTTCGATTCCAACGGTAGGCCAGTTTGAAAAAAAAATTATGCACTCACTAACTGTAAGTCGCTCTGGATAAGAGCGTCTGCTAAATGACTAAAATGTAAAATGTAAGTCACACATACCAGCACTGAGAATGTGATGTCCGTTCAGGCCGTGGTGCTGGATCTTAGTGGGCGGGGCGCTGTGTCCCAGACGACTCCTGAGTAGACGGCCTCCTCCGCCCGCCGTGTCAAAGATCCACACCTAAAGAATATGACTGATCATTCAAAACTCTATGGTTGAATACCAAATCAAATATATTAATTCTTCATAGCCCTGTGGTATGTTGGTACGAGATTGTGGTAGCAGTGCTGAATTTGCAACTTGAGATTTGCTAATACAAGCTTTAAGACAGGGGTGTCAAACTCATTTTGCCACGGCGGCTACACTCGGTCTTCAATGAGGTCCCGAGGGCCACACTCGGTCTTCAATGAGGTCCCGAGGGCCACACTCGGTCTTCAATGAGGTCCCGAGGGCCACACTCGGTCTTCAATGAGGTCCCGAGGGCCACACTCGGTCTTCAATGAGGTCTGGGGGGGGGGGCGCATTCTGTCTTTAAACCATAGTTTGGGGAATTTACTATGCTCCCCGACTGTCAAGCTTTAATTTCGGTGATTATTAGCAAGCTGGACACAGTCAAGAAATTAATGTAGACACAATAATTTCAACAAACAAAAAAATTGGCAGTATGTTTGACACTCCTTCTTTAAGATGTGTAGTTTAAAAAAAAGAGAATTGTTTACAACAATTTTACAGTGATGCCCTCTAGTGAATGACACAATTTAAGTAACACTAACCCGAATGCCGTTATCAGCCCCATTGGTGATGAGAAGAGGCTCGCCATGGAGGAATGTTAATCCAGCGATAGCTGTGTTGTGCGCATCTCTCATCTGACAAACAAGCTTCTTCTCCTCCAGATCCCACAGCCCAATATGTCCAACAGGACTACCAGCCGCCATTACTGGATGGCCATCTAGAAGACAATCACATCAAAGTGTTAAGAGGTAAGTAAACATTTTTTAAAATAATCTCAAGCACGATTTTACTTATTATATTGACGCAAAGTAGTGACACATCAGACACAAATTGAGGCCACACAATGTTGTGTTCATCATTAGAATCATAAAGACAACACCATGTTCAATTGGGGACTTCACCTGTTCTGAAGGAGAGGGAAGTGACTGGGCCCCAGTCTTGCTGGAACTTCATCAGTGACTCATCAAACTTGATGTTGTGGATGATGATCTGACCTGATGATAGGCCTACACCCACAGCGTCCACAGCTGGGGTCTGAAGGGGCGGTTTAGAAGAAAGGCGCGAGAGAGAGATAAGCTTGACAGGAAACGCATTGAATTTCTGATTTCACAGTAGCCAACTTTTCTACACAGTAGATCCCATACATAGTGTATACCACTAAAATGTAACTGTAGATTCAGCTGCGGGCCAATCTTTTCTTGAGCGGATGGTCGGGGGGCCGGAACATAATTACAAATCATTTTAAGATTGCAAATTGACCGCAAGAAGCCCAAACCAATATAATATTTGACTAACACAATCATTTCAAACCTTGCTTACCTTTGCATGCGATCATTTATTTATATTATGTGTGGGAATACTTGGGAACAGAGTTATCAAATTAAAATCACTTGGAGCTGATTTTAGTCTTTCATGTCCAACAATGAAAAAAATACTTGGGAGGCCAAATAAAACCACCCGCGGAACAATGGTGTTCCATCCCTGCAATAGAGTTCCAGACCCTTGTAGAATCTATGCCAAGGTGCATTGAAGCTGTTCTGGCTTGTGGTGGCCGTTGGTGTTTTCTTTATTTTGGCAGTTACCTGTATGCAAGGTCTTAGGCATGGATGTGCGCAGGCCCACCCACTGGGGAGCCAGGCCCACCCAATCAGATTGAGCAAAATGCTCTACTTTACATTTTAGACATTTAGCAGACGCTCTTATCCAGAGCGACTTACAGTTAGTGAGTGCATACATTTTTCATACTGGCCCCCCGTGGGAATCGAACCCACAACCCTGGCGTTGCAAACGCCATGCTCTACCAACTGAGCTACACGTTCCAAACAGGACATTATTTGTATTTTAACCTAACCACAGTACTTAACTTGGACAGGAGCTCACCAGAACTGAGTATCAGCACCTCAAATTTTCTTCTGCTTGAGTTCCTGCACCTCTTATAGAATATTATCTCAAAAGTATTGAGGAGTTCCTGCACCTAAATATAAACGGTACTGGCACCCAAAATGAGTACCGGGACCTATTTCAGTCCAAGTCAAGCACTGGCCTAAACAGGCATACACCATCATAGCAAGCAGCAGGGAGGGGGTGGAAAACAAAAGGGATATACAGTGGGGAGAACAAGTATTTGATACACTGCCGATTTTGCAGGTTTTCCTACTTATAAAGCATGTACATGTCTGTAATTTTTATCATAGGTACACTTCAACTGTGAGAGACGGAATCTAAAACAAAAATCCAGAAAATCACATTGTATGATTTTTAAGTAATTAATTTGCATTTTATTGCATGACATAAGTATTTGATACATCAGAAAAGCATAACTTAATATTTGGTACAGAAACCTTTATTTGCAATTACAGAGATCATACGTTTCCTGTAGGTCTTGACCAGGTTTGCACACACTGTAGCAGGGATTTTGGCCCACTCCTCTATACAGACCTTCTCCAGATCCTTCAGGTTTCGGGGCTGTCGCTGGGCAATACGGACTTTCAGCTCCCTCCAAAGATTTTCTATTGGGTTCAGGTCTGGAGACTGGCTAGGCCACTCCAGGACCTTGAGATGCTTCTTACGGAGCCACTCCTTAGTTGCCCTGGCTGTGTGTTTCAGGTCGTTGTCATGCTGGAAGACCCAGCCACGACCCATCTTCAATGCTCTTACTGAGGGAAGGAGGTTGTTGGCCAAGATCTCGCGATACATGGCCTCATCCATCCTCCCCTCAATACGGTGCAGTCGTCCTGTCCCCTTTGCAGAAAAGCATCCCCAAAGAATGATGTTTCCACCTCCATGCTTCATGGTTGGGATGGTGTTCTTGGGGTTATACTCATCCTTCTTCTTCCTCCAAACACGGCGAGTGGAGTTTAGACCAAAAAGCTATATTTTTGTCTCATCAGACCACATGACCTTCTCCCATTCCTCCTCTGGATCATCCAGATGGTCATTGGCAAACTTCAGACGGCCTGGACATTTACATTTACATTTTTAGTCATTTAGCAGACGCTCTTATCCAGAGCGACTTACAGTTAGTGAATACATTTATTTATTTTTTATTTTTTTTATACTGGCCCCCCGTGGGAATCGAACCCGCAACCCTGGCGTTGCAAACGCCATGCTCTATCAACTGAGCTACATCCCTGCCGGCCATTCCCTCCCCTACCCTGGACGACGCTGGGCCAATTGTGCGCCGCCCATGAGTCTCCTGGTCGCGGCCGGCTGCGACAGAGCCTGGATTCGAACCAGGATCTCTAGTGACACAGTTAGTACTGCGATGCAGTGCCTTAGACCACTGCGCCACTCAGGAGACATGCGCTGGCTTGAGCAGGGGGACCTTGCGTGCGCTGCAGGATTTTAATCCATGACGGCGTAGTGTGTTACTAATGGTTTTCTTTGAGACTGTGGTCCCAGCTCTCTTCAGGTCATTGACCAGGTCCTGCCGTGTAGTTCTGGGCTGATCCCTCACCTTTCTCATGATCATTGATGCCCCACGAGGTGAGATCTTGCATGGAGCCCCAGACTGAGGGTGATTGACCGTCATCTTGAACTTCTTCCATTTTCTAATAATTGCGCCAACAGTTGTTGCCTTCTCACCAAGCTGCTTGCCTATTGTCCTGTAGCCCATCCCAGCCTTGTGCAGGTCTACAATTTTATCCCTGATGTCCTTACACAGCTCTCTGGTCTTGGCCATTGTGGAGAGGTTGGAGTCTGTTTGATTGAGTGTGTGGACAGGTGTCTTTTATACAGATAACGAGTTCAAACAGGTGCAGTTAATACAGGTAATGAGTGGAGAACAGGAGGGCTTCTTAAAGAAAAACTAACAGGTCTGTGAGAGCCGGAATTCTTACTGGTTGGCAGGTGATCAAATACTTATGTCATGCAATAAAATGCAAATTAATTACTTAAAAATCATACAATGTGATTTTCTGGATTTTTGTTTTAGATTCCGTCTCTCACAGTTGAAGTGTACCTATGATAAATTACAGACCTCTACATGCTTTGTAAGTAGGAAAACATAACATAACATTTTGTGCTGTTCATAAAATCTATTTCAATTTAGGCCCTTGTAATGAATTTGAATTATGCTTGATTATTTACGAAGAAAAAATTAAGATTCTGCCACTTGTCACTTCGCACTGATACCATGTGCAGTAAAGAGTAGCTATCGCTGAGACCATGTATAGAAGAGGATTTTGGAGCACTTTCCAAGTTATTTGATTGAAATATGTTGCCATTAAGACCTCAAGTTCCCCTCTATATCAATCACTGATTGCATTGATCTCGAGTGCCTTAAAGACAGTTTCAGTACATTCAGAGACAATGATCAGCCCTAAAATGCTGTTTTTATTAAACACTTTTAGAAATCATGAAACACTTCGACTCGCACTCTCTCTCCCCAACTCCGCTGAGACATGACCATCGATCCAGTGAAATAAAAATAAAAAAGTTATTTCAATTTATGCTCTGATGTGCCTTGCAATAGGCTACAACAACTGACCTTTTACCAGGGTTATCATATAGCCTAGCTTGAGACTTGAGTTTTCAAATATAAGGGACTGTACATTATTTATAATAAGGAGTAGGCCTACATGGAGAAAATCTGACCTCTCTTATTATATATGAAAAGAGGCAAATGCATGAAACATTATTTATTTCCAGTCAATGCAAATAGCCTATCATTTTTAATGACTTTATTTCATTGAAAAGATAACTTTGCCCTGTGCTTCTCCGACCATACACTATAGTTATGCCCTATAGGCTATTTATCATTTAATTGATATCACACAATACATTGTAGGCAGACTCTGCTTGCATTTTGACTCAAAGTGATCTAGACCAAGAAAAAGTTGGTGACCACTGTTGGACCAATGGCTGCCTATTGTGATTATTAACGTTATATAGGCCTATGGTTTATTATGTGTAGGTCTATGTGAGTCGCATGTTCAATGCAAGAGTCACGGATTTCCGTAGGCCTACAAGACTATTTGGTCAGTAATGCGAAATCACGTTAGATGGTTTGTTATGTGTGATTGAATACAGTAGGGTATAGGGTAGGCTATGCTTTATTTTGGTTTTGGCCCACCTACATTTTTGCTGGCCCTGCCATCATCGGATTTCTGCTTGCGCCACCGCCTGCATGTCTTCCTAAACCAGAATGTAGGCTACACAGTCCCTTCTTTCTATACAGTATTTGAAAGGAGTTGAACGTATGTTTGCTTGACCGTTCCTCAACCTAAAAATGTTCAGCTTTGAGAAATGTTGAGAATAATTATATTTTAACCAACCTGCTGAAGCACTGTAACTCCTGATGCCCATCCAGGGAAGGTGTACAGGAGCTTGCTAAGATAAAAAGGGATGCACTTAATGAGTACAGAGAATATGGCAAGTTGTCCTAAATTTAAAACCAAACTTTGATAAAAGCACACTATAACAATTTCAGTTGCATTAATACAGATCTTTAGTTGTTCTGTCCTTCCATCAGTTTTATGATTTCACAACCAAATTATAATTACATTATCAACCAATACTTTTTAGTTCAAAATACATGAATGACTGTACTTGGATTTGACATTCCAGAGCTGGAGACCTCCTTGGCTACTCCCAAACAGGATCTTGTTCAGGTAAGTGCTTGGGTGCATTACAGCAGACACTTCAAATGACACTTTGTCAAATGTTATTTGCAGGTACTCCTCTGTGGGACAAACAAGCATGAGAGAACAAAACAATTTAATTGACTGGTTTGACAGGAAAATGAAAAACTACTGATCATCATTCCAAAACACTCAATTTACGAAAACATTTTCAACTCGAGGTTCATTGGAACAGCTAAACTAAAAAATGATCCCAATGAACAGTTATGCATTATTTTGCAACACCAACCCTCTGACTCCACGTCCCATACAATGACAGCATTGTCCCTGTCCACTGAAATTATGTGATCCCCAAAAGGCAGCAGGAGATGAACATCAGCTCCATGGCCAGTGTACATGTGAACAACCTGGATAGACACAACATCTCACAGTCAGTTTACTATAATCGAAGTAATTCACTATAATCAATGTCACATTTAAGTTAAAGCGAGTGTGTGCCCTCAGCTAGCCTCATGTCATGACTAGTAGGTGGCCTAAATAGTTTCAGATATCATTGTCTTAAAAAAAACAAAAAAAATGATTTTATAGAATATATTAATCATATAAGTGATGGAATGGCTACTTCACCTCTTTGTTCCTGGCAAATGCTGATACTTTTTTCCCATTTGCAACATAGACCAGCATCCGATCAGCTGCTAGGTATGATATGTCCTCTGGAAGTGCATTACCTTGGGAAAATTCATACCTGCCATAAATCTACAGTCAAATAGTAACATTGATAGCAATAAATTGTTTGAAACTGTAACAATGGTGAATTAATAAAGGTAGCTAGACTCAGTGATTTGCCATCATCATACACAGTCTGGAAACTCTTACAGACATCAACAGAATCCAATCTTCCCGATGTATGCCCTCCCTTGACACATGCCCACATTAGGAAGAGCAAACAGTGGCTGTTTTGTCAGATATGCATTTCATAGTTGTTGATTTCTGTAGAGAGGAAATCCCACTGTGTAAGATGATGCCATCATATCACGAAGACTACCTTTAAATTAAACTACATAAATATGCATGAGTCCTACTTACTGACAGCAACGATTCCAAGTTTCTTGACCTGTAACATTACAAATGGTTGATATCATTACCAAATAAAACAATGGAATGGACAATGGAATGTGCAAAAAGGTGAACTGATGATAACTTCTCTTTTTAGTCACTGTTATGGCTACATAACTAATGATGATCACCAATAGGACCACAAAATAACCACTCCGTTTAAAATATGAGAATTAGCGAGCTATCCAATAACTAAATGTAACCTTACAAAAAAACATTGCAGTTTTGAAACTACAGTAAAGTGCAGTAACTGCAGTCTACTGTGGTATTTTGAACGCAGTATTTGCTGCATACTGCAGCCATACTGCACTAACTAGAGTTATACTGCATTCTGACTGCAATCTTTTTTTTCGTAAGGTAGATAACGTTATTGTAGAAAAGGCTGCCCTCAAAATCTTGCATTGCATTCGTGGCACTTCCTCTAGCTATGTTGTTTCATTGATCTAGTTTTGACATCAGGAAATGGCAAAGACACTAACATTATATATTTTTTAAATGATTGCTATGTAACAAGTAACTAGCTAGCATTATCGTTACATTTATCAACATAATCACTTACATTGTACGTATGGAAACAGTTTCCCACAGCTGTCACAATGTAGAATTCTCGGTGTTTCTTATGATACCGTACCACGTGTGAGAGGTGATTCGAATACAGTCCCAATGCTCTGAAGCCTGAAAATATAACGCTTCCCTTTTTACTACCCACAGGCATGTTTTAGGTTATGATGTACATCAAGTAATGATTTCTATCAAATGTAGAGACCTTTTTCGTAGACTATTTGAAACGACAGGCAAAATAACGTTATTCCTCTGATTCTTCAAAGTTTTCAAAGCGTGAACACATCTTGTGTAACACTGAAATATGTCCGATAGACCGGATTTTAGAGAATTATTTATTCCGCGTGATACATTCCCTGAGATTGTTAGTCTCCATAAATAGCTACCGCTCTCATTCTCTATTCTATTGCAAATAAATGTATCAACAAAATCTTGAAAACTGTCTGATAAATTATTAGTATAGTAAAGAATATATGGCCTTGTGTGTCTTTTGAGAAAAAAATAATGAATGAATCCCCCACCCCGTATTCTGTGTTGTAGCTAAATCAAAATACGGTATTAAAGTGTTTATTATCAATTAAAGTTTATTATTATTTTTTAAACATAGAAATAAGACATAATTAATAAATACTGAAACAACCTCATTAAAAATAAATTTCAATGAAAAATGTAATATCTGAAAATAAGCAATCACATAGAAAATACTTAGATTTCACCAAAGAAGGTTGACCCATAAGTAATTTTACAGAAAATATATGATAAACAATTACAGCGTTGATTAATATTTGATTTATAAAACAATATCAAACAGATTTTCTGCTGCTGGTTTTAAATATGGCTATGATTTTAAAAAATCAATCAATCAGGTTTGCAGACACCAACAAATCCCAGCATTGCAAGAATTTGCATGGATGTCTGGCACGTTTATATGGCCGCCTCTTCAGATGCCCACACTCTTCACCCTGTGAAAATCAAACATACAATCAAAGACAATACTATTTGTACCTTTGATATCAGAGAAACTCAGTCTGACAGCAAACACCATGTGATTACTGTCTGTCATAACAACAACAATGATAGACAAATATGGAAAATATGACAGATAAGCATGTTCAAAATACTCACCTTTGCTGAAGATGCCAATCTACATCGTATTTTCCCAAGATCGTCTATTTCACTTGGGCAGTGAGACCATTTGAAAATGCACAGCTGAGTGAAATGACATGTATAATATGATGGTGTTAGTCATTGAAAAAAAACATTTTGTCTAAATCAAGTCAAACCGATAGGATATTAAGAGCTTACCCTGTCATTAGACATCGACCTCGAACTTGTACAGTTAGTTTTCCATATAGCCTGCAAATGAAACCACTTAGGTGTTTCAAACCTCAGGGAATCTCAGCATGTGCAAACCTAATATCAACAAGATAATTAATAAATTCAAAGAAACAAGCTTTTAGAAATCTGACTTACATTCATGTGAAATTCTGGTCTGATAACATTGGATGCATCATCCTGCATTTTTTGGAGACATCCCTGATGCATTGCTGAAATGCTCTCAACAAGGTACACTGCAAAAGCCAGTGTGACATAACCTGCAAAAAAGGAATTCAATACACAGACCAATATCACAATTACAACATGTACAAAAGAAGCCAGGAAAGCTGTCAAAGTCAACATGTGTTAAATTGGATCAGTTACCAATCAATTGTCAAATTCAGTCATTTACCAATCAAATGTGCCTTGCTCATCTTTGTGTTAATTTGAGAACTGAACATTTCAGTGATCGGGCATCTTTTATACTCTCTCAAATTCCCTTAAGTTTACCCATAACCCATAGTGTCACCTCATAAATAAATAAAAATCACACACACAAAAAAAAAAAACTCTGACTCACAGTATGAATCATATAGGCATGTACTTTCACCTATTGATCACTTAATCTAACATAGTATAATACATCTCTTAACCCACTCACCCCATTCCATAACATCTCTGATCTCATAGTTTGAATAACAACTATGTACTCAAGACTTCAAATGTTACTGACTGAAATCATACAAATCATATCATACAAATTGATAAAATCAAATAGATAATTTCACTTTTCTAAAAAATGCAGTTCCCACAATGTGTCCATTGCTGACATTTGAGGGTTTCCTTCTTTGAGCTTAGTAAGACATCTTTATCATAATGAAGAGATCGGTCTATGTGTGAGGGCATATTCTGCACTGGGCAGACTAACACATGCAGCCTGAAGCATACCTTACATCTGACACTTACAGTCCTCTCTTCTAGCCTCCCCTGGAGAGAGAGCTGCTCTTATGGTCGCCTGATATCTACAATGAAAAAATATAAAATATAACCGCAACATGGTCCCATGTTTCATGAGCTGAAATAAAAGATCCCAGACATTTTCCATACAGAGAAAAAGCTTATTTCTCTAAAATGTTGTGCACAAATGTGTTTACATCCGTTAGTGAGCATTTATCCTTTTCCAAGATAATCCATCCACCTGAAAGGTGTGGCATATCAAGAAGCTGATTAAACAGCATGATCATTATACAGGTGCGCCTTGTGCTGGAGACAATAAAAGGCCACTAAAATGTGCCGTTTTGTCACACAACACAATGCCACAGATGTCTCAAGTTTTGAGGGAGCGTGCAATTGGTATGCTGACTGCAGGAATGTCCACCAGAGCTGTTGCCAGAGAACCAAATGTTCATTTCTCTACCGTAAGCCACCTCCAACGTAGTTTTAGAGAATTTGGCAGTACGTCCAACCGGCCTCACAACCGTAGACTGGACCACGTGTAACTACGCCAGCCCCTCCACATCCGGCTTCACCTGTGGGATCATCCGAGACCAGCCACCTGGAAAGCTGATGAAACTGTGGGTTTGCACAACCAAATAATTTCTGCACAAGCTGTCAGAAACCGTCTCAGGGAAGCTCATTTGCGTGCTCGTTGTCCTCACCAGGGTCTTGACCTGACTTCGGTTCGGCAGTGTAACCGACTTCAGTGGGCAAATGCTCACCTTCGATGGCGAATGGCACGCTGGAGGAGTGTGCTCTTCATGAATGAATTCCGGTTTCAACTGTACCGGGCAGATGGCAGACAGTGTGTATGGCATCGTGTGGGCGAGCAGTTTGCTGATGTCAACTTTGTGAACAGAGTGCCCAATAAGCTAGGGAAAATGAACACAATAGCATTTTATCAATGGCAATTTCAATGCAAAGAGATACCGTGACGAGATCCTCCTGAGGCCCATTGTAGTGCCATTCATCCGCCGCACTCACCTCATGTTTCAGCATGATAATGCACGGCCCCATGTCGTAAGGATCTGTACACAATTCCTGGAAGCTGAAAATGTCCCAGTTCTTCCATGGCCGGCATACTCACCAGACATGTCACCCATTGAGCATGTTTGGGATGCTCTGGATTTACGTGTAAGAGAGCATTTTCCAGTTCGCACCAATATCCAGCCACTTCGCACAGCCATTGAAGAGGAGTGGGACAACATTCCACAGGCCACAATCAACAGCCTGATCAACTCTATGCAAAAGAGATGTGTCGCCTGTCCATTTAGTTGTTAGGCTTTGAAACAACATCCACAATGACCATGTTTTCCACTCAGTTTCAACCTACTGTTGAACTTCTTTCTTCAAATTGATCAATCACAGTGAGGTGAGATTTATAAGCACAATACTGTTTTGATGATAAGTGTTTGATGTGATTTTCGATTGCATTGACGTCAGAATGGTTAGAAGGAAAATAGAGCCCATAGTACGAGGCCATTAATGAATTTTATACTTCCAAGGCATATGCTGAGTACATAAACATAGATTACTGTGACTCGACTGTCACGTGGAATTTTACTGCGTTCATGATTCATGACGCTCAGTGTGGCGGTAATATGTCACCGCAACAGCCCCAGTCACACCTGACACTGACTGGTTTTCTGATCCACCCCCTACTTTTATTTTTAAAGGTATCTGTGACCAACAGATGCATATCTGTATTCCCAGTCATGTCAAATCCATAGATTAGGGCCTAATGAATTTATTTCAGTTAACTGATTTCTTTATATAAACTGTAACTCAGTAAAATATTTTAAATTGTTGCATGTTGCGTTTATATATTTTTTCAGTGTAGCTGCCCCAGGTACAGTGAGGGAAAAAAGTATTTGATCCCCTGCTGATTTTGTATGTTTGCCCACTGACAAAGACATGATGTAAGTCGCTTTGGATAAAAGCGTCTGCTAAATGGCATATTATTATTATTATTATGATCAGTCTATAATTTTAATGGTAGGTTTATTTGAACAGTGAGAGACAGAATAACAACAACAAAATCCAGAAAAACGCATGTCAAAAATGTTATAAATTGATTTGCATTTTATTGAGGGAAATAAGTATTTGACCCCCTCTTAATCAGAAAGATTTCTGGCTCCCAGGTGTCTTTTATACAGGTAACGAGCTGAGATTAGGAGCACACTCTTAAAGGGAGTGCTCCTAATCTCAGCTTGTTACCTGTATAAAAGACACCTGTCCACAGAAGCAATCAATCAATCAGATTCCAAACTCTCCACCATGGCCAAGACCAAAGAGCTCTCCAAGGATGTCAGGGACAAGATTGTAGACCTACACAAGGCTGTAATGGGCTACAAGACCATCGCCAAGCAGCTTGGTGAGAAGGTGACAACAGTTGGTGCGATTATTCGCAAATGGAAGAAACACAAAAGAACTGCCAATCTCCCTCGGCCTGGGGCTCCATGCAAGATCTCACCTCGTGGAGTTGCAATGATCATGAGAACGGTGAGGAATCAGCCCAGAACTACACGGGAGGATCTTGTCAATCATCTCAAGGCAGCTGGGACCATAGTCACCAAGAAAACAATTGGTAACACACTACGCCATGAAGGACTGAAATCCTGCAGTGCCCGCAAGGTCCCCCTGCTCAAGAAAGCACATATACATGCCCATCTGAAGTTTGCTAATGAACATCTGAATGATTCAGAGGAGAACTGGGTGAAAGTGTTGTGGTCAGATGACACCAAAATCGAGCTCTTGGGCATCAACTCAACTCGCCGTGTTTGGAGGAGCAGGAATGCTGCCTATGACCCCAAGAACACCATACCCACCGTCAAACATGGAGGTGGAAACATTATGCGTTGGGGGTGTTTTTCTGCTAAGGGGACAGGACAACTTCACCGCATCAAAGGGACGATGGACGGGGCCATGTACCGTCAAATCTTGGGGGAGAACCTTGGATGGGTATTCCAGCATGACAATGACCAAAAACACATGGCCAAGGCAACAAAGGAGTGGCTCAAGAAGAAGCACATTAAGGACCTGGAGTGGCCTAGTCAGTCTCCAGACCTTAATCACATAGAACATCTGTGGAGGGAGCTGAAGGTTCGAGTTGCCAAACGTCAGCCTCGAAACCTTAATGACTTGGAGAAGATCTGCAAAGAAGAGTGGGACAAAATCCCTCCTGAGATGTGTGCAAACCTGGTGGCCAACTAAAAGAAACGTCTGACCTCTGTGATTGCCAACAAGGGTTTTGCCACCAAGTACTAAGTCATGTTTTGCAGAGGGGTCAAATACTTTTTTCCCTCAATAAAATGCAAATCAATTTATAACATTTTTGACATGCATTTTTCTGGAATTTTTTGTTGTTATTCTGTCTCTCACTGTTCAAATAAACCTACCATTAAAATTATAGACTAATCATTTCTTTGTCAGTGGGCAAACGTACAAAATCAGCAGGGGATCAAATACTTTTTTCCCTCACTGTATCTAGAGCATTCCTCATACCTCCCTTATGATGGCTGATACAGTAGACAGCCTACAGTGGCTTGCAAAAGTATTCACCCCCCTTGGCATTTTTCCTATTTTGTTGCCTTACAACCTGGATTCAAAATTGATTTTTTGGGGGTTTGTATCATTTGATTTACACAACATAGATGCAATATATTTTTATTGTGAAACAAACAAGACAAAAAAACAGAAAACTTGAGCGTGCATAAATATTCATCCCCCCAAAGTCAATACTTTGTAGAGCCACCTTTTGCAGCAATTACAGCTGCAAGTCTCTTGGGGTATGTCTCTATAAGCTTGGCACATCTAGCCACTGGGATTTCTGCCCCTTATTCAAGGCAAAACTGCTCCAGCTCCTTCAAGTTGGATGGGTTCCGCTGGTGTACAGCAATCTTTAAGTCATACCACAGATTCTCAATTGGATTGAGGTCTGGGCTTTGACTAGGCCATTCCAAGACATTTAAATGTTTCCCCTTAAACCACTCGAGTGTTGCTTTAGCAGTATGCTTAGGGTCATTGTCCTGCTGGAAGGTGAACCTCAGTCCCAGTCTCAAATCTCTGGAAGACAAACAGGTTTCCCTCAAGAATTTCCCTGTATTTAGTGCCATCCATCATTCCTTCAATTCTGACCAGTTTCCCAGTTCCTTCCGATGAAACACATCCCCACCACATGATGTTGCCACCACCATGCTTCACTGAGGGGATGGTGTTCTCGGGGTGATGAGAGGTGTTGGGTTTGCGCCAGACATAGCGTTTTCCTTGATGGCCAAAAAGCTCAATTTTAGTCTCATCTGACCAGAGTACCTTCTTCCATATGTTTGGGGAGTCTCCCACATGCCTTCTGGCAAACACCAAACGGGTTATCTTTGGTCTCTTTGTTGCCTCTCTGATTAATGCCCTCCTTGCTTGGTCCGTGAGTTTTGGTGGGCGGCCCTCTCTTTGCAGGTTTGTTGTGGTGCCATATTCTTTACATTTTTTAATAATGGTTTTAATGGTGCTCCATGGGATGTTCAAAGTTTCGGATATTTTTTTTATAACCCAACCCTGATCTGTACTTCTCCACAACTTTGTCCCTGACCTGTTTGGAGAGCTCCTTGGTCTTCATGGTGCCGCTTGCTTGGTGGTGATCCTTGCTTAGTGGTGTTGCAGACTCTGGGGCCTTTCAGAACAGGTGTATATGTACTGAGATCATGTGACAGATCATGTGTCACTTAGATTGCACACAGGTGGACTTTATTTAACTAAATATGTGACTTCTGAAGGTAATTGGTTGCACCAGATCTTATTTAGGGGCTTCATAGCAAAGGGGGTGAATACATATGCATGCACCATTTTTCCGTTATTAATTTTTTCGAATTTTTTGAAATAAGTTATTTTTTGCATTTCACTTCACCAATTTGGACTATTTTGTGTATGTCCATTACATGAAATCCAAATAAAAATCAATTTAAATTACAGGTTGTAATGCAACAAAATAGGAAAAACACCAAGGGGGATGAATACTTTTTCAAGGCACTGTACTTTTTGCATAGCTATGAATTCCACTATGATTTGTTGATTTCCAAAAAGCTTTTTATTGGGGATATAATAGATCTACTTGTGTGTAGAGCTGGCTGGTAGACGAGACAAGTGTTGGTGGATGGAACGTTTTATATAGTAATTAAAAACCCTTTACTGAGGTCCAGTACAGGTAAATCAGAGACATATTTAAATATACACTGAGTATACATAACCTTAGGAACACCTTCCCAATATTGAGTTGCTCCCGCTTTTGGGTTCAGAACAGCCTCAATTCATCGGGACATGGACTCTACAAGGTGTCGAAAGCATTCCACAGGGATGCTGGCCCATGTTGACTCCAATTCTTCCCACAGTTGAGTCAAGGTGGTGGACCATTCTTGAGACACACAGGAAACTGTTGCGTGTGAAAAACCAGCAGTGTTGCAGTTCTTGACACACTCAAACCGAACTCATTGTTCAAATTACAGAAATGCACACGGAGAATAAGTCAGACATTTATTTTCAGCAAGGTTCTCAAACGATGAAGATATTATCTTATAGATTTCCCTATTTTTACCTTTAAATTGTTCCTAAATGTACTGTTAATTTGCAATGTACTCACATGTATTTGCAATGTACATGTAAATGTGAACAACTTGATACATACCTACACACACATTATCACTCCTAAAGCAATAATAATTTAAAGACATTCTGTACATACATTTCTGGCTCAATCCTTCCTCTGCTAAACCCAAAAGCAACAAATCACCACATTCATACAAAGTAGAGAAGCACTGAGAAAGCTTGTCAACATGATTTGCAGAGAAGACTACTGACTAATACTTCACATAAATTATGCCAGGATGAGTTAGTTTGACAGATGGAAGTTAAGTGTATATTTCCTTCTATGTCTATTGGGGATATTTGTTGATGCCATACGTTATAGAACATATTATTTAGTACTTTATGACACAGTGGGAGTGGTGAAAATTACGTGAGGAACACCTCTCTCGGCAAACACCTGCAACGTGCTTCTGGACAGAAAAAAACAAGACATTTTTTGGTATTTTCGGGACAACATTTTCTGGAATGAGCCCAACCCTGACTTCTAAGGGGGGAACCACCAGCCCAAAAAACATTTAGAAATATATTGCATTGTTTTTCTTTAAGTGTTTTGCAGCAAGGTGGAATAGATCACCCTGGTGATCTGCAGCACGGCGGCGTGTAGCGAGTACTGCACCACGATGGATCCGAAGCCCTTGTAGAATCCCAGCGCTCCCTCCTCTCGGCGGATCACATTCACACAGTCCCTGATACCCTCATACTGCGTGTTGATGGGCAGGACCTCAAAGCCCAGGTCTGTGTTGTCGATGATGGTGCGCGTGCCCTGGATGTGGAGCCTGTGCATCACCGTCTCCAGCGGATAGAGGAGGACGTCGGCACACAGACTGGCCACAAAACTAGCCATGAGTTCAGGGAAGTAGGCGTCCAGCATGGTCTGGACTGTCTCTGAGCCGTCCACGGGCTGTTTGGCCGGGCTTCTCCGGCGCAGGAGGAAGAGCACTAGCTTCTGCACAGTGGAGCTCACCACATAGTGGAGGACCCCGTGGAGCACGGTGGGAAGCATGAGGCCCCATAGGGGCAGCAGGCGCTTGCTGTGGGGGATGCCCATGCCCATGACCCGGCCCACACCCTCCTTCACACAATCCAGGATGCCAGGGTTGTCCCGGATGATCTCACTCTGGGGATACACGACAAGGGACAGCATTGGTATGATATTGCAGAATAGTTAAGAATGGCCTGAAATTATCTTTGCTTGTGTGTTTGGATTGGAATGACCATATCTGCGAAGGAATTGTAAAATGTACTGAATCTTTGATACTGATAAAGGTTGAGTTTCCCAAAAACATAAACATCATATTTATTTTTGGTAGGCAATGGACGAACAATGATCTTCACACAGTGGTGGAAAAAGTACCCAATTGTCATACTTGAGTAAAAGTATTGATACCTTAATAGAAAGTTACTCAAGTAAAAGTCACCCAGTAAAATACTAATTGAGTAAAAGTCTAAAAGTATTTGGTTCTAAATATACTTAAGTATCAAAAGTAAATGTAAGAGCTAAAATATACTTAAGTATCAAAAGTAAAAGTATAAATCATTTCAAATTCCTTATATTAAGCAAGGCAGATGGCACCACTTTCTTGTTTTTAAAATATACTGATAGACGGGCACACTCAGACATCATTTACAAACAATGCATTTGTGTTTAGTGAGTCCGCCAGATCAGAGGCAGCAGGGATGACCACGTGTTCTCTTGATAAGTGCATGACTTTGACCATTTTCCTCTCCTGCTAAGCATCCAACATTTAACGAGTACTTTTGGGTGTAAGGGAAAATATATGGAGTTAAAAGTACATTATGTTCTTTAGTAATGTAGTGAAGTAAAAGTTGTCAAAAATATAAATAGTAAAGTATAGATACCACAAAAAACGACATAAGTAGTACTTGAAGGTATTTTTACACCACTGTCTTCACGTTCAAGATGATCTTTATTTTTTAGGGAAACTCACCCAAAGTCAGTTAGAAAGTGAAGGGGAGTTATAGTAGCGATACCAACAGACAAGATAAGGGTGGCCAAAATACAACATACGACAAAGGGATCATCATTCATATAAGTATGGACACACTGACCTGCACAGTTTCAATGAGACTAGCTGAGTAAAATGGCATGGCAACCACATAGGTCAAACTGTAATAAGGAGAGAGATACGCAATGACTGTTCATAAGATCAAAGCAATCTACTGGAATAAAGATATAATCAACACCATCTGATAACAGCATTTACTAACTGTAAAGTCCCTTCTCAATTCCACTGCACAGTTTTGATAAATATATCCATATGCACTCAATAGTTAAGCAATTTGATCATCACTTTAACCATACAGATACTTTGTCACTACTTTTTACAGTATGAAAACCATCCATTATAAATGAAAGAAAATAAATGTTATTACCCTTTCAGAACCAAATGCCCAATAACTTGCTTTGGGTTCCATTTGTGGGAGAGTTCCCTAAGAACAAACAAACACAGTCAGACCTCTATCCACGGTACCAGGTAACCAACAGTTCATATTAGTTTATTTCATATGTTCAAATAAGGAGATTCAACATGTTTGTGATTTTTAAGAATTTAAAAAGGCTGGTTTATACTAGTTTTTGTGTTGTTTGAACAGTTATTGTTGAAGTATGCGCTATAGTTTCGTTTTATGTATTCATTTAAAATTCTTAGTGGTCTTTGATTCTGGTACTGGGATGTCCTGCCCATCTCACTGGAACCCTTGAAGCTGATAGATATGGCCCCTCTGAGTAGAATCGCCCACTTCAGCATGCTCTGGTAGAGGCTACATTACATTGTGAATGGAAGTTTGACACTTAACGGCATCTAAAATGACTCGCAGTGGATGTTGTGCTTGATTTTTATAAACAGCAATAAAACAAATATATATTTGTCAAAGCTAATCCATAAGGAATAGGATATGGTGGGCGATCAGGCGAAGACTAAGGGCAATATCTATTCAAACCCGTTAGCTAGGTTTCTTGCAACCTGTTAGCTAGGTTTCTTGTCTAAAATATCATCCATACCGTGGTAGTGGAGTGCATTCACTAATGATGCCTTCTGTGCCCAATGTGACTCCTTGTACAACAAAGGTGCTGCCCATTCCTTTCCATAAGGCCTTTGGACCCTGCGAGCAGAGAATTCACAACAATATACCAGCATTAAAACAAAATGCTAGCGCCAAATTCACATTTTCAATAGCTTTTGAACAACATATTGTATGTTAGGCCTAATTGTGAATGTTGGGTTTTGGGTTCATGAAAAGCATTTATTACCTGACTCTTGGTAACATTATACATCACACTGACAGCAGTCAATGGGGACAGATGGTAGCACCTGGCATGATAATTGACCTGGAAGCCACAAACAAACAGAATTAGGAATCATTTATTTCTTTTATTATTACTACTTATTTCAACTTACTTCATTAATACTTACTTCAAGCGCACTGGAGGTTAAACCTTATGTAGCATTCTAATGGACAACTGTGATACACCCAGGAAGATTGATATATTGTATTGTAGAAAATTATGAGTCTTGATATTACACCAAATCCTACAGGTGGAACACATACAGTATCTGAACATGTGGATTGTGGCATTTACTGCATGGCAGACCTGAACATATGCTTACCTGGCACTGACGACGAAACACAATGCAAGGGTGAGCCAGGACATTTTCAGTAAAGAGACTGGAAGAAGACATGGTGTGAATAAATGAATATAGGCCTACTATTTTCCTTTTCTCAAACACTTCTGCTGTATATAGAATGTTCAATGACGTAAATATTTGTTTAATGTAAACGTTTACTTTTCTTTTGAATTGAAGTTCGATTATAGTCATCTCTTGACATTACCGGTGAACTACCACCGTAGATAGGCCTAACACTGAATTACCTTGCAAGCCCGATACCAAATCCAGCAAATCTGTTCAACTGCTCTGAAAGAGAAAGAACAAATACATGTGAATATCCAAAAAGCAACATTTCATCGCAAACCTTATCTGTTGCGATATTTTAATAAGTCATAGTCACTCAAGTGACTCAATAAATCATCGTTTATTTTAACTATTTTGAGCGTCACAGATTGAGTAGCGTAGAAGCAGACTATTCAAATTGTGTTGGTGGTTTACAAACAAATAGACTATCTGGCACACGTATTAGTCAGATGTGGGCAATTCCACAGTAAAGGAAATCAAACCATTAACACTGAACATTTTTTCAAAAACACATTTACTTGAAAAACTGTGCAGATGCAAAATTTGGTAACAGAATTTCGGTAAAATCTCCCTCGGTTTTATTGGAGATTTTTTGTTAACTACTCTGTCTCACTTAAGGGCAGACAACATAACAAACCAATTATATGAATTATGCATGTTGTAGAATGAAACGCCTATATGCCTATGGATTAAGAACCAGTTAAAGGGTTAAAACAGAGCCATTTCTACTAAATGGGGTTTGGTCACACCACTATTGTTTCCAAGAACTGAGTAATAAGAGGAGGAGAAGTAAGATTACGCCACCATTAAAAACAAACAACGTGACTCAAGAGGAGGAGTTAGACAGAAATTGGGCGGAACGGTCAAAATTGGGAAACAATGGTGGAGTGAACTGAACAGGGAGGGATTAAGCTGGAAGGCGTGGATTATCAGTAAAGATGAAACTGTATAAAGGAGGAGAGCTGGGAGCTGGAAAGCAGTTGCTCTACAGACCAGCTCTGCTTTATTGCTTGTGTAATAAAGTCTATCTTCATTCTACAAAACTCTGAAAGTGCATTAATTTTTAATGATAAGGAAGATTTTTCACAACAGTTTCCCCCCACATTTTCCCGAAACTCTGTTAAATATCCACTCTGAATGAAGAATAAAATCTGTCTGCAGAAAGAATGGGGTGTCAGCTATGACATATCGGATCTTAGAGAAGCTGTCATTGAAGAACATTCTCTGGATTATATTGGATAAATAACTATCCAACCATGTGATGGCAGGTGATGTAAAGCCATAGCAAGTGAGTTTCTTCAAAAACAATTTATGATCAATAACATCAAAGTTTGCACTGAAATCTAACAATACAGCTTCCACGATCATCTTATTATCCATTTATTTTAACCAATCATCTGTCATCTGGGTTAGTGCAGTACAAGTTGAGTGCCCTTCTCTATATGCATGCTGAAAGTCAGCAGTTAACTTTTTCTCTGAAAAATAGCATTGTATTTGGCCAAACACAATTCTCTCCATCAGTTTACTAAGAACAGGCAGCAAATTGATTGGGCGGCTGTTACAGCCAGCAAAGGGTGCTTTACAATTTTTAATAATTAGGCAGTGCAATTACTTTAGCTTCCTTCCACGTCTGTGGACACACACACACACTCTGTGTGTATGGTGGCAATACAGTCTGCTACCATTCACAATAGTTTCCCATCAAGGTTGTGAATAACTGGTGGCTTATCATTATTGATAAATACCCTTACAAAAAAAGATTGCCGTTTTTAAACTGCAGTAAAAGTGCAGTAACTGCAGTCGACTGTAGTATTTTGGACGCAGTAATTGCAGAATAACTGCAGTGTACAGCATTTGAACTGCAGTTACACTGCAAAATTACTGAAGTAAAAAAGAAAGTGTTATTTTGGATGCAGTATTTGCAGCATACTGCAGTTAGACTGCACTTTAACTGCAGTTGTACTGCATTGTACTGCAGTTATACTGCAATTTTTTTTTGTAAGGGATAACAATAGTTTTTCCACCTCTCCCACACAAACTTTACCAAATTCTAAAGAGACAATCCTTCTCTTTCATTATTAGATATTTTATACAAAATTATAATGGTTCACTGATCAATGTTGTCATTTCACTTGAGTTTTTCCACTTTACTAGTGAAATAGTTTATTGAAATTATTGGCAATTTCGAAAGGTTTTGTTATAAATGAACCATGAACTTCAATGAATGATGGATATGAACTGTACTGTGCTGTCCAAACTTGTGAAACATACAGTGAGGGAAAAAAGTATTTGATCCCCTGCTGATTTTGTACGTTTGCCCACTGACAAAGACATGATCAGTCTATAATTTCAATGGTAGGTTTATTTGAACAGTGAGAGACAGAGTAACAACAACAAAATCCAGAAAAACACATGTAAAAAATGTTATAAATTGATTTACATTTTAATGAGGGAAATACGTATTTGACCCCTCTGCAAAACATTACTTAGTACTTGGTGGCAAAACCCTTGTTGGCAATCACAGAGGTCAGACATTTCTTGAAGTTGGCCACCAGGTTTGCACACATCTCAGGAGGGATTTTGTTCCACTCCTCTTTGCAGATCTTCTCCAAGTCATTAAGGTTTCGAGGCTGTTGTTTGGCAACTCGAACCTTCAGCTCCCTCCACATATTGTCTATGGGATTAAGGTCTGGAGACTGGCTAGGCCACTCCAGGACCTTAATGTGCTTCTTCTTGAGCCACTCCTTTGTTGCCTTGGCCGTGTGTTTTGGGTCATTGTCATGCTGACAATGTCATTGTAATTTTCAATGCCCTGGCTGAGGGAAGGAGGTTCTCACCCAAGATTTGACGGTACATGGCCCCGTCCATCGTCCCTTTGATGCGGTGAAGTTGTCCTGTCCCCTTAGCAGAAAAACACCCCCAAAGCATAATGTTTCCACCTCCATGTTTGATGGTGGGGATGGTGTTCTTGGGGTCATAGGCAGCATTCCTCCTCCTCCAAACACGACGAGTTGAGTTGATGCCAAAGAGCTCGATTTTGGTCTCATCTGACCATAACACTTTCACCCAGTTTTCCTCTGAATCATTCAGATGTTCATTGGCAAACTTCAGACGGCCCTGTATACGTGCTTTCTTGAGCAGGGGGACCTTGCGGGCGCTGCAGGATTTCAGTTCTTCATGGCGTAGTGTGTTACCAATTGTTTTCTTGGTGACTATGGTCCCAGCTGCCTTGAGATCATTGACAAGATCCACCCGTGTAGTTCTGGGCTGATTCCTCACCGTTCTCATGATCATTGCAACTCCACGAGGTGAGATCTTGCATGGAGCCCCAGGCAGAGGGAGATTGACAGTTATTTTGTGTTTCTTCCATTTGCGAATAATCGCACCAACAGTTGTCACCTTCTCACCAAGCTGCTTGGCGATGGTCTTGTAGCCCATTCCAACCTTGTGTAGGTCTACAATCTTGTCCCTGACATCCTTGGAGAGCTCTTTGGTCTTGGCCATGGTGGAGAGTTTGGAATATGATTGATTAATTGATTGCTTCTGTGGATAGGTGTCTTTTATACAGGTAACAAGCTGAGATTAGGAGCACTCCCTTTAAGAGTGTGCTCCTAGTCTCAGCTCGTTACCTGTATAAAAGACACCTGGGAGCCAGAAATCTTTCTGATTGAGAGGGGGTCAAATACTTATTTCCCTCATTAAAATGCAAATCAATTTATAACATTTTTGCCATGTGTTTTTCTGGATTTTGTTGTTGTTATTCTGTCTCTCACTGTTCAAATAAAACTACCATTAATAATGATAGATTGATAATTTCTTTGTCAGTGGGCAAACGTACAGAATCAGCAGGGGATCAAATACTTTTTTCCCTCACTGTAGATGTCTTTACGGATCGGACCAAATCTGAACCAATCTTGGACGTCTATGTTTGAGCCAAATTAAAGCTGGTCCAGACGTCTGTGGACGTTGAAATCAAGGCTGGACAAGGAGGACTGACCACATTTCAAGTACTTTTCAACGTCCATGGAAGTCCGGTGTCGTTCGATGCTCAGTGGGTGAGGATGCTGGTTACAGTAAATGGAAAGAGAGGGGGCTCATGGATAGGTCTCATTAAGAGCCGGGAGAGGTGACAATAATCGGAGAGAAAGAGATAGAGAGAGGGAGGGGCTGTCCAGACTTTGTACACTATAGCTTTGACCACTAGACGACAGAAAAATAAAACCATTATCAGCTGAACATAACAGTATGCCAGTGGAAGGGAAGACCGTAGCAGTGAACCAACTGTGGTTTGTGACTACTATGATTTCCCATTGTAACCAATTCAATTGTAGAAATTCCATTACCGATTTTTCTGAAATTCTGTTACCGAAATTGACATCAGTAAAAACACTATAACTAATTGAAAGATCTACCTTTACTTGTTACTTCTGTGAACTTTCATGAGAAATCTTATAGATATGTGGGTTTTGGGTAACGGAATGTCAAGGCACAAGGCAATGTTTCCTAAAGTAAATATACAATTGAAGTCGGAAGTTTACATACACTTAGGTTGGAGTCATTAAAACTTGTTTTTCAACTACTCCACAAATTTCTTGTTAACAAACTATAGTTTTGGCAAGTCGGTTAGGACATCTATTTTGTGCATGACAAGTAATTTTTCCAACAATTGTTTACAGAAGATTATTTCACTTATAATTAACTATATCACAATTCCAGTGGGTTAGAAGTTTACATACACTAAGTTGACTGTGCCTTTAAACAGCTTGGAAAATTCCAGAAAATGATGTCATGGCTTTAGAAGCTTCTGATAGGCTAATTGAAATCATTTGAGTCAATTGGAGGTGTACCTGTGGATGTATTTCAAGGCCTACCTTCAAATTCAGTGCCTCTTTGCTTGACATCATGAGAAAATCAAAAGAAATCAGCCAAGACCTCAGAAAAAAAATGGTAGACCTCCACAAGTCTGGTTCATCCTTGTGAGCAATTTCCAAATGCCTGAAGGTACCACGTTCATCTGTACAAACAATAGTATGCAAGTATAAACACCATGGGACCACGCAGCCGTCATACCACTCAGGAAGGAGACGTGTTCTGTCTCCTAGAGATGAACGTACTTTGGTGCGAAAAGTGCAAATCAATCCCAGAACAACAGCAAAGGACCTTGTGAAGATGCTGGAGGAAACAGGTATCTATATCCACAGTAAAACGAGTCCTATATCGACATAACCTGAAAGGCCGCTCAGCAAGGAAGAAGCCACTGCTCCAAAACCGCCATAAAAAAGCCAGACTACAGTTTGCAACTGCACATGGGGACAAAGATCGTACTTTTTGGAGAACTGTTTGGCCATAATGACCATCGTTATGTTTGGAGGAAAAAGGCGGTAGTTTGCTAGCCGAAGAACACCATCCCAACCGTGAAGCACAGGGGTGGCAGCATCATGCTGTGAGGGTGCTTTGCTGCAGGAGGGACTGGTGCACTTCACAAAATAGATGGCATCATGAGGAAGGAAAATTATGTGGATATATTGAAGCAACATCTCAAGACATCAGTCAGGAAGTTAAAGCTTGGTCGCAAATGGGTCTTCCAAATGGACAATGACCCCAAGCATAC